TGATGCTGCCTCTATCACTAAGTGCAAACTCTTCCTCCTCCCGCCGCTAGCAGTCACTTTAAAGCAAAACCTTGGCACCTGCACGCGGATATATACACCTTAACTGACAAGCAGGGTGGCTTAGGCTTAGCTTGGGCAATGCTCGTGCTAGATGAGCTCTGTCCACAGGGAGGAAAAGGGGATAAAACCTCCGCAGCGAGGAGGCCCGCCACGGGACGTCCCCGGCCCCATGCGCCCACCAGCTCCCACGCCACGCGAGCCCCGGCTGTTCCCCTTAAAAAAGCCTCAGCTCTCTCTCAATGGATGGTGGGAAAATCTTTTAGCACTGACAAAAACAATTAAAACAGTGGGATTCAGTTATTTGAGTTTTGTTTCCATTCTTTTTCCTTCTGCTTTGTTTTCACCCCAAACACCCTTCTCCTGGATCTGCTGCGTGTCAGGCTGCCTAGCTAACTACAGACCCCAGAACTGAAAATACTTCTAGTTTATTAATCAGAATATAATTTAAATAAATTGTAGCCATAGTTGGATTGCTATCTATCGAGCAGTATTTTAAAAATTTAAACGAGGAAGTTTAAGAGCTAGCCATGGCCACGCCAGCGAAGTGGCTCTGGTGCCCAGGTGACTGTATGGCAACGCCGTCCTTCCGAACTGGCCGGCCGAGCAGCCGTTTCTCTGCCAGCTGGATCAGTTACTAATTCCAGATCCCCCAAGAGACACTGGTGTTAAAACAAAAAGCAGCAGAAACAAAGAGTGGATGTGGAACCACCTCTTAGCAACAGCTGCCTTTCTGTTAATGGGACTGCATCCCCATCGCCTGATGCGTGAGAGCAGCAACAGTGCTGTAATTGTTTATTCCTTCCTTGGAAAATATCATGACAGTGATTAAGCTGTGGATTTGTTATTAAACTCACTCCAGTGTTGGCACCTGTCATTGAAATACTAGGAGAAAGCTCAGGAAAACAAACTGGCTTTGCATTCTGCTCTGGGCATGGTGAAGTCAACAGTCACTTTGCGTTCCCACCAGCAGCGAGCTCCATGGGCTCAGTCCATGTCCGTACGCAGGGAGGTATCTCCTCACACTCATCATAGCTTATTTCTGGTAGACCCAGCTCGTGGGATGAGGATGGACTCACCCTGCTCCCACGTAGACCTTTGCAGTCCAGCTTTTCTTGGCCAGTCTATCATAAGCGTTCCTAGTAATCTGCAGTCTGGCCTGCTGAGGTGACTGCAGCTGTATTTTAACTTTCCAGAGAGTGGGTGAATATTCAAACATAAAAAGATTAGAATTAATTTTGGATGGATGACCTAATTTCCATAGCAATCACCAAGTCGGACAGGGTGCACCTGGTTACTTCAGCCACACGTAACCATATGTAAGCACTGCTATGCTGCAGGGGCCATCTCCGCAGTGTGTGTCAAGCGTAGCACTGTGAGGGATCCTGAGGCTGTAGATAGGTTTTAGTACAGAAGAGCAAAAACCTTTGATGAGGGGGTTGTTAGGAAGAAAAATGTTTTTCAAAGCACTTTCATTTTCCCGTTAGCACTATCTCAGTTTCATAACCTCAGCCCTCAGCTTCCTGCTTAGGTTTGGTGGTGTCTCAGAGTACTTTTCTGAAGAAATCCTGATGTCTGACATTGGTAGGCCAGAAGAGAAAGTATATGATTTGTCTCTGGTTTCACAAGCTAACTGAACCTTTTCTGACTCAAGAATATAGAATGGGTTATTCCTCATCTAAGTATATTCAAACTAATACTCCTCTCGGAACACCTAGACTTCTGCATAGCTCACTAAGTTTCTAGGAAAGTAAAAGATCTGACTACAGTTCATCACCAGCTTTTGGCATGTAGTAGAAAACTATTTTTTTTTTCTCCTCAGTTTCCATCTTTGGTCATATCACCTTGCACACAGAGACCAGGATCTCTGTTTTCTCCGACATTTCCTCAAGAATAGGGCCAGAGTGAAAAAAGTAGCTTTGTATCATCCCCATGCTGCAGTCTCAGGGATGCTGGAAGTTGCACCAGTCTTTGCTCTGGTGCCCTGGCAGCTGGAGTCTGGGTTGCCACTCTGAAAGGCGGTGGAGTCACCTATGCCTAACGAGAGATTTTGGGAGGACAGGCTGGCGAGCTGTGAGCCACCTGGGCTGACGGCTGCTGATTTTTATGGGGAACATAAGGATGATGGGAACCAGAAGCAGCAGCAGGTGATTCTGTCTCAATAAGCAGCTCCCAAGACCCCAGAGCAGAGATGAGCCTCTGAAAACACCATGGTTACCACACCTCAGGAGCAGTGACACGAGGAGAGCACGGCAAGGCAGCCACGGCTTCCAAGGGAGTATCCCAGGCTCCTGAGACCACGAAACTTGTAAATGGTACCCAGGGCTGTGGCTATGCATGAAAATGAATCAGAACTGAAAGCAAAAACTGTTGTGCTGCAATGGGGAGATGGGCTGTAAATCCACTAGAAGGTGAAGGAAGGATGGCTGATTCATGTTGAGAGCTTGTGTCCTTTATTTCCTTACTTAGTTGGCTGTGCTTACACAAGGGAATGAGGCTCTAAGAGTAATACTAAAGACCTCCCAAGGTGAAGTGAGATTATCTTTCGGTTTCAATTTCTTAAAACAGATTGACTGGACTGACAAGGCCAGTCCTCAACAGGTGCTCTAAAATGTGAGTTTTCCTTCGGAATAAATCCGATCCTAGATTCTCTCTCCAAAGGTCACAAGCACTGCAAAGGCATTCTGAGAGGCAAGAGGTGACCCCAGTGTAAGTCCTGACTTCCAAGAAACCGAATTTCACTAGAAACGATTTTTGGTTCTTCCCTCTCTTCTTTTGATGAAAGACTGGCTAATCATACCTCTTCCAGGGATAGAGACTCTCAGAAATACTAAAAAAAAGACATTTAACATACTCTTCTCTCACAGGTGTGTCTGGTCCATGACAACTTCAACAGCAAAACCTCAGGTGAGGCAATCTTAGAGGAGGAGAAAAGGTGCAGTGGTTCTCAACGAGAAAATAAAAGAGTTAATATAGGAATTTCAAAATTAGAGTACAGGAAGACAAATAAATCCAGAAAGGACAGGAGAGTTTCCCAAATAAACAGAAAATCTTCAACATAAGTCTTGTAGGAAAAGTTATGCAAAAAAAAAAAACTAAATAGAATTTCTTTCAACCCTCTCTCTTCTAAAAAGAACAAAAAAATGTAGGAATTGGTAATTAAAATAGATATAGAAAGGGGGAATCTACTGGGGAATTCTACAAAGAAAGAGGAAAGCAAAAGGGGAAGGACAAAACCATGAGGCCAATAGCCAAGAACAGTGGAAGAAAAAGACATTGTGCTTAGAGCGTCTGGAAGGAACTGAGGACGGATCTGCGAACTGCTCTCGCTGCCCTCAGCGCAGAGCACAAGGGAAGGCTACGCAGGGACGGGTAGGGTGGGACAGCGCAGGCACGCAGCAGAAAGCAAAGAAAGAAAAGAAAAGTTCCTGTGGTACATGCTCTCCCAGTATAAGCATGTATGTGCATGAGCACCTGATGGAGGGGGAGTGAGCGGGGGACACCCTGGGTGAGCATTAACTTTCACAATCTAACAATTCGCAGTAATGATAACTACAGTAATAATATTTCTGTATTGCAGATTGCACAGTGCGTGTCACAATGCACAAAAACACATTTATAAAGTGGTTAATTTGCATACTACACACGAAACCTGCATAATCCTCTGGTGAGGATTTCAGCAAAGTGCATGCTAGCGTTGTAGCAGCCGAAATGCACCTACTGCAAATGTGTAAATTTAGTAAGGTTACACATACAGTCTTTATCCCACCTCCCCGCAAATGAGTAGCACTGAAAAATTTGGAGAGCTAATAGACGGAAGAGAGTGTAGTAAGTGGGGGTAAAAGAGAGGGAAAAGAAGAAAAAACAAGTTTATTGAAGGATTAGTAAATCAACTGAAACACAAAAGAGTAGGTCAAGAAACGAGGACGGAATTAACCTCTGAATAAACGCCCATTTGGAAAAGGCAACGTTAGAGGTCTCACACAGCGGCCAGAAGGGATTCCTTTTCTAGCACAGGCAAGAAACCCCGCAAAACCTCTCAGGCTGGGCAGGTAGAAAGAGCAGGTGACATGGAGGTATTTTGCCAGTTTTTGCTGCTCTGACTGGATGCAAAGCAACAGGGCATATGCATCATACACCTTTTGGAAGTATTTCTTGAAAGTGCTTTTACTGCAGCTACGGTACACAGAGGTAACTATTTGGTAACAAACAGACTCACATGCCTTTGTCAAGATATATTTAAAGTAACTGTATAAGAACTAATTGACTTCAGATTTTAATGATGGAAACTTTTGCTGAGTTGCCCAGATAGCCTAATTAAGCTTTGTAATTAACTCAAACCCAAGCCTCAGCTACTTACAGCTCAGTTTCCCAGATTTCACTTTCACTTCATGAAACAGCACGCTTTTGACTCATTTAGAGAATTCACCCTTTCCTCCATGAGGAGAAACTAACACTTTGATATAACTCCTCGCTTGAGTTATATGATGGTGTTAGTCTTTCGTTTAGACAAGAACTCTACAAGTTTAATTGAAACAGTGCTGGAAGCAGAGCAAAACCACTGCAGAGAAAAGAACGGATAGAAATCAAGACCCAGAAACTCTACTTAACAACAGCCATTTACAGGCAGAGAGGAAAAAGCAGCACGGCCATGTGATATCACATGCCAGAAGTCAGGGAGAGAACCCAAACGCATAAGCTTCTGCATAGACTTTGTCCACCTCAATCACCCTTCCCACAAGCCAGCTACCAACGGGAGACAACTCTGACGCTGTCCAGGTCACAGACAAATCCACAGACAGGCACCTTGTGATAACGGTCCCCCACAGAATTTAGTGATTTTGAGATACAGATTACGGATCCATCCCCTGAGGTGATGTGAGCAGGAGGGCTCTTAGGAACGCGACAGGAAAGGGAGGGAATTTGTTAGTTTTCTTCCTCACCTGGCAAGGCCTTTGCCCATTTTACCACGTAGACCAGCTGCCTCTCCCCGAGCTCGTTCAGACTGGTCAGCAGATTGGAGAAGGAGTCAGGCTGGCTGTTGTCATGGCCAGCGCACACCACGCCGGGCTCGATGGCTTCCAGGACGTTGAGGAAGATAGGCTGGCACTCGTACCCATCGATGCGCGTCATCACCATCTTGGGGGCTTGCTCCTCTACGGGGCTGGATGAGCTGCCTGCCTCAGGATCATCCTGTATCTTCAGGTTGCCCAGTTTCTTAAGCTTGCGGGCTGTGAAAAATGACACATCTTAGCATGACATTTAAAAATTAAGCTTGAGGGTTCTTGGCTTCCAGCTCCACCACTTACACTTACAATGAAAGCAAAACTGATGAAGAGCAGCAGCTACTTATTCAGTACAAACAGACATCGTGCAAGGACAAAAGGGAGTATACACTATGCAAGGAAATTCAGTTGTTCATTAATCTTATATGGAAAAAAACAAGCATCATTTACATCCTCAACAGTGACTGGTCTCAGTTATGTGCAACTCCCAGTTATAAATGCAGAGGAAGGACTGGGAAAAAAGAGGGGAGAGGTAAAGTGATTCAGATAACTGCTCACATGCATTTAAAAAGGAAAGCAACACAAGCAAATAAACTTCCATGTTCTGCAGAAAAACTCATTTCACTTGAATATTCTAAGTTAGATAGTCCACTCCACACCAGATTTTGGGCAGACGGGTCGTGTATCCTGTCCCCACCTCTGTCAGGCCAGGGCGCTGTCCACACGGAGTTGGTTTTGACCTCACAAATTCACTGTAAGCTCCTATCTGACTAGCGGCCTCTTCTCTGCATGGGATCCCTACTACACCTCTGCTGTGCAACCAGGTACGTCCAGCTTCATTACTACTCTACAAATACATCACAGAAAATACATTTAAAAGGTTGGCAGGTGCTCCCATGGCTCTTTTCCTGGTATCTTCCCACTCAACCCATGAAAAAAGAGGAGACGCGAGAAGTGGTGGTCTTCGACTTGTGGGGTTCAGACTGCAGAGGACAAATGAACGTGCCCATGTCACCAGGAGGAAGAGTCTCTCCTGGAGGTGCACCTGTTTCTTAATGACGAAGGCCAGTTTGCTAACAACACATACCAGGAGCTTCAGATGCACGATTACAAAGTTCTTTGAGAGTTAGCGTTTACCTAATTTGACATCTACATGACAGGGTTCAGCACAACACAGATTGGCAGGCTACAGTAGATAGTAACTGCTTTCATCCTTAGTAGGCTCCAAAACCCCTTAATTAATTAGAGAAAAAAGCTGATCACTTAATTCAAGCAGAGAATATAACATCAAACCCATTGTCCTTGGGGTTTTGGCTCCTACATTACATGATACTTATCTGAAATTTCCTTTCAGCTGTAATTAAAAAAAATAAGCAGCGAAACATAAAAATGTCAAGCTAAAGTGCAGCTTTGTAAATCAATTCAAAACACTGATCTTTAAGTAATGTACTTTGGATGATCTACTGTAAGTGTAATTAAGGCAGGCTGCTCTATGAAAAAAACAGTAATAAAAATAAAAGAGCAACAGGAAAACAAGGCCATATGCAGTGAGACATACTTCAGCAATTATTTGTGTGGGTCAGAGGCCAAAGAGAAAACAAGAGCCTCTCCTCTCTCACTCCTCTAAAAGTCTCAGAGAGCACATCCATCACCAGGATTTGGCAAACCACGGTGCTCTCCTTCGTAACCTTGAAATTCCCTTCTGACAGCGAGATCTCCTGGGAACGGCATGGCACAGCTGCGCCCTGGAAGCTGCATGTTTTCTGTGTTGGACAAGCAACATGAAAAAAGCACAAGCACGAGATGCTGATTCCTCGCTTGTAAAAAGCCTGCTGCTAATCGATTGAGGAAGGAGGTATCAGGGCTGACTCCATGTGAGCTGAAAGCCATGTCTTAGAGTAGTACTGGGCACTGAACTATAATATATATTAAGAGCTCCCAGGCTTGAGACAAGAAATAAAAGACAAACTGTAACTTCCAAAGATGAATAATCAGCGCCAATAAAGTCCTATGTACAGGTGAAGTCATACCTATACTGTATAAAACACATATATAGCTTGGTTTAAATGTCATAATGTTTTTAACTGAATTATTGAGTGCTAAAAGAGATTTCATGAAGGAAGAAAAAATTGGCTCGCATGAGATTATAGTCATAAACCAAAGCACCAGGCGTCAGAAAGCAGTGAAGCTAGACAGTAACGATTATTTTCAGAGGAACTTTTGTGTTTGTGTTTTACAGGAGCAGTTGTCCCACAGATCACTGAAACACTGATGCTATTAGATGGAGGAAAGCTTCAGAGGCGAAGATCAGACTGCATTCAGTACAAAAATCTATAGCTTTTAGGAGGATTTCTCTAGGTCGTAAAACTGTTGCACTTAATCTAGCCTGAAATTCAACTGCTGAAATGGTCCACCTGGCCTTAGTGGAATCTTACTTCACGTTTATTTTAAATATAACAATATTGGGATCCAGATCGATATCTCAATCTTCTAACGAATACAGCTTCAAAGACAACAATTCTCCCATAGCTGAGGCGAGTACTTTCGTCTTAATTTTGCCTCACCTCTGCAAAAGCCCCCTTGATGACAGCTACTGCTCAGCACTTGACTGGGAACAAAAATACCTGGAACCAAGACTTACCATGCCAGGATAAGGAGGAGCTGTTTGTTTCTACACATCTCTGAACCACTCTGACACCATTACAAACATCCAGGGTGGGATTCATCTCTTCTAATTTTACAAACCTGCAATGCTCATTAGGGACACTCCCTTGGTAACAGTGAACAGAAACAGGTACTTACTATGAACCTCCTCTTAAGAGAGGCATCCATTACACTTTTATTCCAGGATGAGCTAAGCTAGGCAGAGGTCTAGAGTGTAGATGCCTAAACTAAGGTGGGACGAACCCCAGCAGCTGTGACTGAAAACAACCAAAAATGAATCTGCTTTTGCTGTTACTAGAGAAAAATCATTCAAGAAGTCTCATAATAGAGTTAAATGCACAGTACTGACAACTTCTATTTTGTTTTTGGCCTGAGAAGGGTTTTTTTTTTATTTTTTTGTATTTGTAAAAAGCCCAGATGATGTAATATACTACGATATCGTGATAAAATACTCAGCACTGCAAAACCCGCTAGGGAGTCCATTATAGAATATATATACACTGTAGAAGTTACATACCTGTTAAGCAGCTTAACCTGGATGTCTTTCATTCAGGAGTTTCTGAAGAATTGTTCAAGAAATGCTTTGGGCTAGTAACAGTGATTTTTAACCAATAGGGGAACTCTGAGAAGTTCTGGGGAACTGGAATAAAACTATTTTTGTATTAGAAACTACAAAGAACCGTTGTCCACTGTAGGCATGTCAGTTTGATTTCAGCTTCAGGCAAAACGACTGAAAAGCTGAAACAGGACTTGACTTATATCTTGTTCTTCAAATTACTTATTAACATCAATCAACATTTGGCTTGCTGAAAATAGATTCTGTCAAGCTACCAATTTTTTTGACATGATAACTTTAATTAATAAAAATAATAGTGCTGGTATAGTAGAACTGTTTAAGCCATCTGACTCAATTCGGTTTGCATGAATTAAAAAAACAGAATGACGTAAAATGAACATGGTACCGCTGAAATGATTTTGTACCACCTGGCTGATACATCTCAAAACATAGCTATAAATGTTGAAACTTTATCAAATAGGTTTGGTTCTTATGAGGGCTCTTGTCAGCCCTCTGCTAATGAATGTTTACATTCATTCAAAAAGAAAATTAAGTATTTCGGTTAACGAAGTCTGTAGGACTAAGATGGGAATACAGTAATGAATGAAAAGGGCTGGTCCCTGAGCAGACTCGTCAAGGTCTGCTGCTAAGCTCAGTACACTCAAAGAAATTGCATTTCACTGTGAACAGATACATCCAGCAACTAAAAACGTGAGCCATATTCAAGCAACGCTGAACTCCACCCAAGGAAGCCTGAATTCTCAAAAGAAGTTGATGGGTAAACACAAAAGACTGAGCTGGCAGTACGATTCAGAGGCTGAAGGACTAATAGGACCTCCAGGCATGTAAAGGAAGAAAATATTGAGCTGAAGAGTCTCTTACCTCTGCTTTTAAGCACTGATGCTGCTGATAGTGGAAAGGTGTGATTGGATGCTCACACTACAAGGGAGATAATGGCAAACTGGAGAAGTCAAAAGAATAATAAAGGCTAGAAAATACACTTTGGAGCAAGAAGGTAAAGAACTTAATCTAGGTGGCTCTGAAGGAGAAGACTAAGGGGTTATTTAGTTACAGCCAATGAATACTCACTGGGGGAAATAGAAATTCTTTAAGGGTAGTTTTTTAAATCTAGGCAGCAAAGTCTTAATAATGATCCAGTTGCTGGAAATCAAGGACAGACGATAAAAAATAAGATACAGCTACTGAAGCAGTGGAAGTAATTAACCACTGCAACAGCTTGGCAAAAAAAATGTGTTAGATTCTCCATTGTTGGAAACTTTTACATCAATATCAAATGTTTGTGTAAGACATGAGCCCTATTTTAACCACAATAACTGGCCTTGAGTTAGGAATACATACAGATATGACTCACGTCTTGGGCTTTCAGGGGATCTAAACAGTTATTACAATAGCCTTCTAGCCTGACAATCAACAAAACGAACCGAATCTTGCATGTTTGGGAGTTTTTGCTCATAGGAGAATCTGGACATGAACTGCTCTGAGTGCTGCAATTAGGCAGAAGGTACACAGATGAAGTTGCTGGCTGAGGAGCAAAGTTCAACAACACAGACAGTCAAATTGGGAATTCAGGCCATTGGCAGACATGTTTAGTTCGCAGAACTGGAATAGCGTTTGGGTCCCCGCAAGCCAAGAATAAAATGCACTGGCATCAAACGAATAGGAGCTGCCTTAAATCTGGAGCTGCGCAGCTCAGCACTGGTGGGCACCGAGTGATGTGTGTGGTCCAGACTGGAATAGGATAATGATGGCTGGATGCATATGCGCATAATGGGCATGGTTAACACACATGTGGATTGGAACAAACCAGTGGATCTCTGCAGGTATCTACATTTGTAATATAAAGAAGTACTGCAGGGCAGGGAGGAAAAAGCACTAGCAGAACTGAGTAAAGGAAACCAGCATTATCACTTTTTAAAACATTTTTCCTCTCTTTGGCTTTATAGTGTTGATCAGGAGAGAAGATTCTGTTTAATGGATTTCAGCTTTCAGGTCAGAGTGATCTCAATCAATAATGAAGCGCTTCGAAATACTGCCACTCTGCGCCAAAGCAGAGTCCTAAATAAGGCATTCAGTATGTCACCTCCTCATACCATCAAAAATACGCAGCGCTGCAGGTTTGCTGGTCACAGTCAGCTCTATTATACCTCCAAGGGATTGGTAATTAACAAGCAGCTAAGACCAACAGTCTGGAGCTTGGATGCATTTTCAAATGCTGTGGGAGAAATAGCTGCGGATAAACTCATAGCATGCATGTTTTTAACAATTACTTTTAAACCAACATTCAAAACAAATGCAAAACAGACCAGGCAGAACAGGTCAGGGTGACCCAAAGAGCTTAAGAATAAAAAAGGGGGAGGGGGAAATAAGTATTAGCATTAATTTTGTCAGTGTGTCCCACAGAAGGGTTGCATTGATGAATGTTTGCTTTTATTTAAGGAAACTTCACCATGAAAAATAAGGGCATGCTTGTTTTGGATAGCATTACAAAGAGCCCTTCTGTTGGTTGAGGACTGGAGAGCTAGGTTTCATTCCTCATCTCTGTCCTTCCCGGCTCAAAGAAGTCCAGGAATCATACAGGCAATGCAATTACAGTGTTCCTATAGTGACCCTGTGAGGCTGACAAAGGAAGTGTTGAGGCATTCC